AAGTTTATAGATGACGAAATATGCTGTTCCGGATTCCAACCGCTTTTGACAAACAAAAATCAATTAATGAAGATCAGTAGAGATATTCAAGAAAAAGTCTGAAATGAGAAGGATCCTGTCCAAAGTTGATAAAGCAAGATGTGCAGCAACCATTACACATAGGACTTTGCTTAATTAAATGTGCCATCATGAGTCCTAAATACATTTACTCGATCTATGTCACAGGCTCTGCACTAGTAAAACATTTTGATCAAATCGGTAGCATTTAAACAGAAGAAGTGTTCAAAGCAGTATGTTTGCTAGTGAGCTTGAAGTTTCTGGGCTAAATATAAACCAAAAACGATAGAAAAATAGTTTAGCTGGCCGATGAAGAGGAGAATGGCCCTGCTTCTTTGCTAGGACGCATATTATTCAACCTGACTGAGTATCTGAGCCATTTCTTGTCAAGTTCAAAGAGAAGATAATTATCCATTGTGGGGCTTCAAATAAATTGATTACTTGTTAAAAGAGACCTAGTTAAACAGACTGTTGAAGCTTAAGTTAAAGAAGATACTGAGTGACAGAAAACTGTAGTTTGCCGCATTTCATCAATATTCACGACACAGACTAGCTGTACTATTCAGTTGCCTATTGCATTGGATCATCACTCAAATAAGGAAAAAGTGATCTATGCCATCCAAGTCTCCATCATTTCTACCAATCAAGCCACAATTAAATTCAATTTGAAAAGAAAAAATCTAGCTCCATACAACCGTGAAGCAGTTTACTATTTGTACAAAGCTCAAGGAGGAACTAACAGGGGAGAAGTCCCAATTAATTAACTCTGTCCTCACAATAGCTAGTTTAGTCCCTAATTTGCTGAAGACGTTAAGACTAAAGGAACCCATCGGCAATAGGTTAGAAAAAGAAATTAGTATGACAATTAGAGTATTTGAAAGATTTACATAAAGAAAAGCGTGTAGATTGCACAAGACGCATATAAAAAACATCAGTCAACTAGTTCATTGAGCAACAAAAGCACCATCAAGAGAAATAATGTACGCATAAAGACTATTTCTAGCATTTCCAACAAAACTAGAATATGAGAATGAACTTTTCCACTATAGCAAAATGAAGAATGTATAACTGATTATCCCTACAAGACTCCCAAGAGGATACTCCAAAAGTCTAAAATACCACCACATTAAAACATGGAAGAAATTTAATTTAGGGACAATATTCCTGACCTCCGAAGCCGCTTACGAAGCATGTAGCGTAAATATGCATCTGTTCCAAATGGGCTGATTCCCATATATTTGCACATGTTTACTAGTCTAGGTCTGAAAGAAGTGAGATGAACCGACAGAAAAAAAAAATGGCATCAGAGCTAATCCAAGCAAAGAGTTCAGAAATAAAGGAGCAAGAGATCAACTCTAAGCAAGGCCTACCTACTGATATTATCTAGAGTAAGCTCATCATTGAATAACTTGGCAAAACTCAAAATTTCTTCATTATTCACTTGGGAACCTGTTCTAACCTGAGTATCAACATATAATGGTCAGATATTAAAATCAGAGGCCAATAACATGAACAAAGGCTTGAGAATTTGTAACTCAACCCTACCCGATTGAGAAACTCATCAAGATCTTCCGCAGTTTGCTTTAATTCACCACTTCTTGAGTTTTGAACTTCTTTAGCCATTTCTTTGACTGTGTCTTGCAGAAACTTGGCATATTCAATTCTCGCATTTAACCTCCGTTTTAGTGCTTCCTGCACATGAATGAGTTTCAATGAAAAAATGAAATCTATTTCAAATCAACAATATCCAAACTAAATATGAATGAGTGCACCATAACTGTGTCAAAATCATCATGTCCATAGGCAACCTACTAAAACTCAATAAAGTGTAAGAAACATGGGCAATATATGCAGCAGGCATTCTCTATTTATATGCAAAGACTATTTGACAGCATATTCCCGCAATATAGCAATTTTATACATTATCATTCACATCAATCATCTTAACACGAATTTAGATGAGCAGGGAAACAAGAAGCACAGCGTAAAGCAGCGTATGATATTTTCAAACAGGGAAAACTCCTTTCTAGCAAAGAAAATTGATGGACATAGTAGCAATAGAAGACGCAAGAGGTACATGCATTGGAAGGTTCCGCATTATGCAGGAATACCCATTTAGGTTCCCAAACAGAAGTGGAATTTTGAAATTGGGAAAATAAGTCAGCCTTTAATAGGTTCTATTTCACCGACAGAAGTTCATATTATATGAAGCCGACTCCTCGAGGAACCTTAATACCAAAGTTTGAACAGAGAAATACAGATGAATAGAACATGAAAAGGGTCAAAGCATTATGTAGGACGGACTGCTTTATATATACCTGCTCTTTCATCTTGTCTTGAAATGTTGAGGGCAACATATTGGGGAACAACTTGAGAAATACCGGCAGCAAAAATTCCATGAATGGAACGATTATGAACACCGCAAAAGGAACTAGCCTAAAAATATCGGCTGTTGTACGGGTTAGCTGCTGCCTCTCCCTTCTTGATAGACTCTTACCATCTGCAAGTTTTAAAAGCAATCTAGAACTAATCCTCACATCTGCCCACAATAACTTCGTCCCCAACCAGTAATGTTGCAATGTCGACACAAATTCTGCTTTCCAATGCAAAAGTTTCTTGGCCCAATCCTCTCTGCCGGAGAAATCACAAATACAGCAAGAAGATGTGAGTAAGAAATTCTGTCTACGGACCAAACTATTTCAAAAACTAGGAAACAGATGCTAACCTGCTCATGGAAGCCACGGCTCTCAAAGCAGGACCGATCCCCAGGAGACTGACCCATACCCTTTGCAGGATGGACTGGGCTGCTCTTTGTGACTCTTGCAACTTTTTAGCTTTTGCTTTTGCTTTGGCAGAACTTAGATCAGCAACAGCTTCATCACAATCTTCTGCAGATGCTTCCTTCCTCCTTTTAGCAACTAAATCTTCATTGCCTTCATCGTCACTACCCAGCTCCTGCTGCTTCGCAGCAGCAGTGGAAGCATGGCAAGTGGAGTGCAACATCCACCTCAGACCCAAGGGATGCATGAGTTCTTGTCGTACATTTCCTCGAACATACCCAGCATTTCCACATATCCCCCCAAAATGTCCAAATCCTTGATTGCTAAGCAGTTTCTCTTTTGCAATCAAGAGAGCCGTGCTATTACTTTTTCTGTCTACATCTGCAGATGGAAGTTCAGCAATGTTGCTGTAACCATGCAGATCTCTGTAGAGAGGAGCATGCTCATGCCCAAGACATTGGAGATATTGAACCGAGCGAACTGAGGAATGCAAGTAATCTGAGATGACGCTCTTCCTCCTGACAAGTGCTCTAGATGCCATCCTCACAGGAAGGTCTCCTCAAGAAGAGAAGTACATCCAATTTCTCACCAAGCGCCCGGTATATCTCAAAAGGGTTACTTTTCATAGAACCACGCTGAGAACAACAACCACGGAGGGAACAATTAGAAGGAGGGCCTTGTCAATTCAGGACACCGCAATCAGGAATAATAAGCACCATGGAAGTAGTACACTGTAGTATGACCACATGTAGACACCTCAACTGTACATATATATCTCACACATAGCAAAACCCACAGACCGGAAGAGTGCCACAGCCCAAGAAGGGAATTCTCAGAACGAACTCGCGTAAAATTTGAAGTCCAGTGCATTTATTTTTTTTAACACCAAAAAAGCACGTTGAATCCGAGAACAAAAACAACAACTTTCGATAGAAACGAAAACCAATGAATCCTCCCCCGACGAACACGTACATATAAACCAAATCAACCTTGTCAAAATCCTTTCCAAAACATGTAAAAAACACAAACACAAAAAGGAAAAAGAAAAACGATCCGCCGCCGCCGCCGCAGCAGCCGCCGCCCCAAGCGAACGAAGACGACCTCGTTGATACGGCATGTCGAAATTAACAGCTCGAGCTTGCCGACCGGCACCACACGCTATCGAGGCGATCGGGGCACGACCAAAACCAACCGGACGGAACGAAGAACGACGGCCCATCGCGCGAATTCCAAGTACAGGATCAAAGGCGCCGCCATTTCCATCGATCACAAGAGCTAAGCTGTCGAAATATAGAAAGAGAGAGAGAGAGAGAGATGTGGAAGGCGATGAAACACACTCACCGGAATCAATTTGGTCGCCAGCGGGAGTGACCGCGAGCGAGAAAGAGAGCTAGCGAGAGCTAGGTCTCTGTCGAAACTTGCGGGAGGAGAAACGGGAGAGAGAGAGAGAGAGGTTTAAAGGAGGGATTAGCAGAGTTATTATACGGTGCATCGGAGGTCCACGAAAATGAAGCTACGGGAGCCGTCCGATCCGGTCAGATCGGTCAAAGACTGAGGAGGGTCAAAGGAGCCCGGGCCGGCGGGTCCCACGGAGATCGTTGACCCATTTGACGCTCGACGGTCCGTCCACGTGTGGGATTCATTTTTCAAGTGCTGTGATTGCGCCGCGTGCTGGAAAGGGGAAAGTATCCTTTTCATCACGTGGGTCCCAGACGAATTCCCCACAAAAGTTTCAACGGCAGAGATTGATTACGAACGATCCTTAGATCCGGTCCAGGCAAAAAATCTCGCGTGCCCCCGCGCGACGACTCGTCGGAGGACGTTACTTGTTGATGCGGAACATCTGTGGTTGTTACTGTTTTGATTCTCGAACAACATTTGGTATATGCCGATTGATTGATATTGAGGACACTTGACGATATGAATTGGTAGCGTGGTTCAATTGCAGAGCAAAAGTTTGCGCCCCTTCGAGTGTTGGGTGATGAGAAGAGAGACAGTGCCAACTTGAACAATTTTAGCCATTTAATATGTCTTTGCTTAATATGGCATTATCTCAAAAGATAACATTAGATGCCGATATGGATAATCAATGCCATCTAACGGCAATAGTGCCCAAATTGGTATTTTCCATCTACAATTTTAACAGAGGCCTCACATTCATCCTTATTTCAAATAAAAAAAATGTTAGAGTATGCGATTATACAAGGGACCAAAATTCAAGCAGTTGCAATGTCATTGCGCCTGGACTTAATCAAGGATCTACATTTTATCTAATCGTGTTCGATCCCATAATTGTTGGATGTCTCGGTAACTTTCGCCTCGTGTGATATACTAGTATGGAAACTACTGAACTATCATAAAAATCTTTCACATATTATACATACACATAATAATGGAGCTGAAAATAGAAGAACAAAAACTAAAGCTTATTACATTTTCGCCCAGAGGTCTCTTACATAGACATTATTACATATTTCCAACGGGGTAGCCCCACAACTGAACGCGAAAATGACTCGAGCATTGTTTGCTTCCTTATCCAGTAGCATAGAGTGCTTCCTCTCATTTCCTACATATAGTTCAAAGAATATGATTTAACTTTGATTGAAGTATTTTGTGCAATAGAAGCCTGATCTCTCCAGAACAAATGATGGCAGTCATGTCGTGTTCCGATGCAACGATGGTCTCGTGCCAGCTTGCCTTATAATAAATTTTTTCACTTGTTGGTATTCTCAATAAGTTTTTGGGTAAATTCCTGCGACTGATCCTGCCAAACATAGGAGTCGGGCACCGTCGCGGCTTGTTTACCTGTATCTTTCAAAACAAAATACTTGGCTGTCGCCCAGTTGCAACGGTCGCAACTACTTAGTTGCAATCGAATGAGTGGCTGTCATCTGTTGTTATACTCACTACATGTACTTTTATCACGCGTCACATGTTCTTACCTTCTTCATTTCCAGACACATCAATACCGCTGTCGCCCTCTCTACCCATCATGCCATTTAGACAAATAAAATCTTAGTAATTGAAGATAAAAAGGACGCGAAGCATACCAAGGAAGCTTGAACGTATCCTTCCACCAGCCCTGCTTGGAACAATTTGCAACTATCTTGTCCAAACGTACAATAATTTCAGAAAAAGTTGGCCTCATGACAGATTTTGGATCCCAGCATTCCTCTATCAACCTGCACATTTCCAAGATATGCCCATGCAACAGCATGCTTGAGAGTTAGCGACCATCAAGAAATCATCTGTGCTCTAGGGAAGAAAAGGTCATGATTATCAGTCATCACAGATCGATCATCATTCCTTACAACGAAAAGTAGCAGTCATAGTTACAGCCCTTTCACTAAATCAAGAGTAAGCGAGGTCAAAAGGAAAAAGAAAGGCAGTACAATCCGACAGCAAAAATATGTCAGCCTCATTTTGTAATGTACTTACTCTTTCAACTCAGGAGGGTAGTATTTAGCTTTGATCTTGAAAGGCGGTCGTTTTCCTTCCAAACATATCATTTTGGCTGCCTCTTCTGGAGAACTGGGAGAGAAAGGCTGAACCCCTTCAATCATCTATGCCAATGTGAAAGCAGGTGGTTAACATTTCAGTGGTGGTGACCGATATTCATCATCATATAAATCTGAAGCAAATGTCAAGCACCATATGCACACATAATTAACTCACTAAATCAAACAAATATCATGCTTGAGTAACAGAGGTGAAAACAAGTTTGTCTGGCAAACCAACAGTGTCAATTTTGGCAAGAATTGTAACAGGGCTCTTGGACATGTTAAACTGAATCGAAGACACTGAACACATGGATGTGTTTGATTTTATCCTGAATAAAAGTCCATTACCTCATAAAGAATGAGACCAAAGGAAAAGGCATCCACACTTCTATCAAATATTTCATCATTATAAACCTCAGGTGCCACATATAAACCTGCATAGGATGGATACCATGAGTAAAGCTTGATGAAGAGTTGCATCGGAATAATTAATCTGATTGCTTAAAATTAGATGATGCCAATTCTATTGAAAGGAGAACTTGGTATGTAGAATGGTAATATAATCACAAGAGGACTAAATTTCTGCCATCCGCGAAAGGACTGCGTTTTGGGGAAAGATGTTGAAAACTGAGAATTTCCAGGAGTTTATCTATCTTGGATCCTATAAGTGAAATTTGTAGCTTGTTTAGCGAGAAGGATATCTTTCCTATCTAGTGTTCACATGGATGTAAAATGATTTTGTGCTTAGGGACTCCTACCAAAGATATTTCGTTCTTTGGACTAAATTTTGACTATTCATGCAAAAGCTCATTGACAACCAAAATTGTATTGCCATGAGGATGCTAGATATTTCAGCACAAAATTTAGTAGCAGCTACATCAATGAAACAATATTTGTTTTCTGTATCAAGCTGTCAATTCTTTCAATTTATCCAATCAAACTTCTAACAATTATACAGAGACCAAAAAGGAAGGCCTGAATTTGTACTTTGCCATTGTTATTTGAGGTTTATATGTCTGAGCACAGTGAAAAAAGATAGAGATCTAATAAGATTAACTTCCAGAACTTTTGACAACTTACGCGACAGTTCAGCTTGAGTCCCAGGGTGTGCAAGTTTTGCTTGATCAGGGGATACTCTTGCCAAACTTATCAAACCAAATCCAGAAATCTTTAACTGACCCCCACTATCCAGCAAGATATTTCTGGCACCTTATCAATATTTCAGATATTAAAGAGATCTGGAAAAACATAATTGATATCCAGTTTGCAATAGTATATTAAATCAGCTCCAGCATTTAGTTGTCTTACTTAGGCTTTAAGTCACAATGGATGATGGGATCTGGTTTACATTCGTGAAGATAATTCATACCCCTGAGATTACGGGATCAACAAAGAAAAGTTTAGAATATGGCAATCAGATACAATGTACTACAATTAAAGAGAAAATTATAATATTGCCAGAAACCTCAAATGCAGATGCTATTAGCTTTAGTGCATGTACCTTGCAATATCAAGAGCAAACCGTAGAGCTTTAGATGGAGAGAGACGCCCTTTCTTCTGAAGATAGCTTCCAAGATCACCCTGAAACACCAATAACAATATGCATTATAGCCATTAGGCAAGAAAGAGAACCGTCCTGACCAAAATAGCTTTCTTGTACTCTTCAAAAAAATTAAAGGAGGGAATTTATGAAATCCATACAAGTACTACTAGGATAAAAAAAGAGAGCAAAAAAAAAAGATTTTGCTGACATTAATAAACAGGCTCCAATTCAAAGTCTCTGATTTTTAAAGGATCAAAACACATGAAGAAAGTTACGGATTAAAGGAATCTACGTCTGAGAACAACCTTTTCCTGCATAGGAGGACATCCATCATTTGAGCGACACAATAGTCTACCATTCCCATGATATAAAAGAGGACTAGTCATAACGGACATTAACCCATGGAATAACTGATTTCCCTGCTCTAGTCGTGAGGATTACCCAAATCTACAAACCTTCTATTTTTTTCAGTTCCAGTGTTTTAGATAAGGACCTCTCCACAGTACCACTTTGAGCGGTCTCCCCAGTCAAGAGAGCCTAAGCAAAAACAAGTTTTGGTTTTCTCTTTGTACTCTTAATAGTATCCCAGATTTAATAACATTACACAACTGTCACCTATCTTAGAACATGGATGCAAGCCGTTCCATTATGAACTTTAGGCAGGAGAAATTTTTTTCTTTCACTCACGACACTCAAGTCCTGACATTCCCTCCCAACTCCTCCAGAACACTAAGGAATTAGAAACACATAAATTAATACAAAGAAGACACGCACAGCCAGCACATGAACAAATGCCCGAACAAACATGAACGCGTGCGCGCGCGCACTTAGAGAGAGAGATACTCACTTTTGGATGGTACTCCAAAACAATCATCAAGGGCATGTTTTGGGTGACAGCTCCAACAAACTGAACCACATTCGGATGTCTCACTTTTTCTAGTAACTCTAACTCGTGCTTGAAAGCATTTCTGCTCATAAAAAAAATATAAAGTTCATTGAAGGCGTTTTCCAGTCACTATGGAATTATATAACATAAGTTTAAGAATGCAATGTGCCTCTAGGCACAGAGAATGATGCTGTAAGTTGTAAAAGTGAATAAACCTCTTGTGAACTATACGGAATTCGGTTACATAAAAAAACGAATCAAGTGAAAAAGGTCCAGCAACGTAGAATCAAGATGTTCTCTATTCTAATATAACGGATTTCCGTGGCTGGGACTAACAATAGTGGCCTTGCGTTCTAAGAGAAGGAAGAGCAGAGATTAGTTTATTAATAAATTTCATTAGATATGACTCCTTTAATTCCTGATAGATGAACAATTTCAATACTAAAGCTTTATGATTTCAAAGCTAGGTCAAGACAATGTCTTCCTGCTCCTATCCAGGTTGTGCCCATTAACATGCAATTCGATGATGCACCAAACAGATGCCCGAAAGACTGCCATGAACTGGGGGAGAAAATGAACCATCTGAATTACCCTTTTAGGCATAATGATCAGATGGCCATAAGCAGATATTAGCTTCGAAAGATATTAATGTGGTAAAACAGTGGAGAAAGGCACAAATAAAGCGACAATGAGGTACTTGCTAGTACATAAGAGGACATTAAAATAGCAAATTCCATTCCAAACAACGTGAACAAATGCATGTCATTTAAGTTTTATGTTATAACAAAGTGCAGACAACAATGTAGGAACTTACATCGTCTCCGCGTCTGAGTAACTGTCCCTATCCAGTATCTTAACAGCCACCTTTGTACCATTCCATTTAGCTACTTGATATGTTCCCTGTTTAAAAGGAAAAACAAAAAACAAGTACATGAATAACCAAAATTTCAACCAACATAAATTCACTTGAGAGATGTCGAGCAGGTTAAGCCTGGTAAAGGTAATACTCAAGTATGCAAAAAGGTCATAGGATTTTCAATAATTTATAGAAGTGAGCACTCAGAACTCAGAACACCATCTCAAATTTATTTTCAATTTGTCCTAACCTAAGATCACTCGGAAGATTACCAATAATCTTAGTCGCATGCATCCACATCATTTTCTAAGCAAGATTAGTATATATAGGTAAATGGACCTGAGCCAGCCAAAATAATAGTGGGAGAAAGTAGACTCATATAATTGCATTGAAAAGCTTCCCAAACCGAGTAAAATACATAAGATTTCTGAAGTTACCTAGGTTACATATCATGGATAGCTCTGGTATCTAAACTAAAACAGGAATGCAGAACATTCCTTTTAAAAATTGTGGAACAATAGTGATAGGGAAATGATAATTTGGGAATGTAGTTTGAATAATACAGGCCTATTTAGTTATACAAAAGTTGATACAGATAAAATAAAATGTCTAATACATAAGCTACAACTAAGTTGCACCTTATGTCGGAATATATTTTTTCAGACAGAAAAATATTAGTACTTAGAATGTATAAAATGAGAGTAACAAGATTATGTAACTTCGACAGAATATGATTCAATTTTACATATCTTCGGCAAATATAACTGATATTTTGAATATAATCAAATGCTCATAGGCTTTTAAGAAATGGAGCTGTTTAAGGTTCACCCAAGATAATTTGGGAATGTAGTTTGAATAAGACAGGCCTATTTAGTTATACAAAAGTTGATACAGATAAAATAAAATGTCTAATACATAAGCTACAACTAAGTTGCACCTTATGTTGGAATATATTTTTTCAGACAGAAAAATATTAGTACTTAGAATGTATAAAATGAGAGTAACAAGATTATGTAACTTCGACAGAATATGATTCAATTTTACGTATCTTCGGCAAATATAACTGATATTTTGAATATAATCAAATGCGCATAGGTTTTTGAGGAATGGAGCCTTTTAAAGGTCACCCATCAACTATGGTGAGCAAGAGAAACATGCCTTTGAAACACCGTCGCCCTTCCGAACCTGAAGTTCCAAAGGATTGAGCTCATATTCTGGAACTTCCCGAGGGTTGGCAACAGTCATGGGTGTCCTTCTTGTTTTCTGGAAACACAGGATAAAGCTCTATGTTAGCATTTTCCGTGGTAGAGACCTCCAGTGATCAAATAGGATAATAGATTAATCATACAGGGACTTTGGCTCCACGAGCTTTCAGAATGTTGTATACTTCCAGATTTCCGTAGTATTTTGCATCAGCAGCTGCCTGTTGAGATGAAAACATCCTCAATTAGGACTTAGCTGGAGACAGATTAGTATAAATCCCAACATAAAAGTTCGACTACATTTAAACCAGCATTATGATAGGCAGTATCTTATTCAAAATTAAGCAAAGAAAGAGCATCTCCCAGTTAATGCTTCGTGTTGGCATATTTCTGTACTGTACAGACAAATCTGTGACATAAAGACTTCCCAAACCATTAATTTCCTCAGCCATATTATCCTTATAGAGTACAAAAAATGCACAGACAAAGTTGAAAAAACGTCATCTTGCTTAGAACCATATGCGTTTTACCTCCCCCTTGAAGCAATAATGAGGCACTTTTCAGTCAATCTTTACATCATCCCAATGGCATCTTTCCATTCACCTCAAAATTATATAGTGAAGGTGAAACATCGGACCACTGCTCTGGCCTCTAGTTTCCGTTTTCAAACGATAACACTTAAGAACGTGCAGTTGACTGGCAAAGTGAAAGATGAAGAATAACGGGATGAATTCTCGCTCGAGTAATAACATGAACAGCCAAACTCGGGAACAAAGCAAACGAAAAGCCAACAGGGAACGGGAAACCATCAACCGAATTAACCAAATAAAGACCACCAAACACAAGCCGAGCTACAGTTCGAGAAGGGGGAATTTACCGTACTCCCCCACCGGTCACGGGCATCAATGTTGGCCCTCCTACTCAGCAGAAGCTTGACAACTTCGACGTGCCCCTCGCACGCCGCGATGTGCAGCCCGGTCCTCCCGTCCAAATCGATGCTGTTCACGTCGATCCCTTCGTTCAGCAGGTCCTCCACCCCCCTCACGTCCCCTCGGCACGCCATGAACAGGAGCTGCATGGTCGAGTCCAGGTTCTCCGGCACCGCGAGCGCGTCGTCCTGGTCGGGGCTCCGCCGTATCGGATCGAGCGACGACTGCCTCCCGAAGCTGAACCTCATGTTGTTCCGCCTCGGGTCCAGCGACGACTGCCGCGTGAATTGCCGGCTGAAGGTCCGCTTCATGGAGCCCGTCGAGAACTGGCGCGATATCCCGCGCTTCAGCTGCGCAGCCAAATCCATTCCCTTTATCCCACCTCCTCCTTCCTCCAATCCCAAACTCTACTCCTTCAATTCCAACCCCAGATTTCGCCTCCAAACAAAAAGAAGAAAAAGGTTCCCTCGAATCGATTAACGACCAGGAATCATCGGGAACACCTCGATTCCGCACGAAACGCACCGCCTAGCGAATCGCGCGACGCATGACGAACCCGGCGTGCATCCGGAAGGCGGGAATCCCGGAGGAAGAGCGAAGAGGAGCCCCGGCGACCGGGAAACCCGGCAATGGCGCGCGGGCCGACCGGCACCGCACCGCACCGAACCGAACCGGCGGCAGCGGAGGCGGGCGCGGGGGGACGGAATCGGAATGGGGGGGAGGAGGAGGGGAGCTCGACGAATCGAGAGCTAGGAGAAGGCTCTCGACATCGAGCGAAAGAGGGAAGCGAGAGCAGGGAGAATCCCCTCAGGTCATTTGCCGATTCGCATTCAAAGAATGGAGGAAGAAGAAGCGAGAGCCAGAGACGAGACGAAGATGGTGGGAGAGGGAGGGAGGGATCGGAGCGAGAAGCATGGAGATGGAGAGAGAAAGAAGAGAGAGAGAATGGCCGCCACAGAGACGCGCGAGGGAGACGGAGAAGCGGAGAAAGGAGGAGGAGACAGAGAGGAGCGGAGCGAGCGCACGTTGATTCAGGGATGGCCGTTGATTTATATAAATATAAAGCGGAAAGACGCGGCAATTTTTCGTTATTGAAATGATACGTACGGGCTGGCCTTTTTTTTTTAAAAAAAATTTTGTTTATCGTTTTTCTGATTAGATTTTTTATTTAAGTAAACGCGTGTCGCGATGGATGATTAGACCATCTAACTTGCAAAAGATCTCGCGGTTTTTTTTTTAATGTGCCGCCCCACTCTCGTGGTAGGTAGAGGTGGCCACGGGCCGGTTTTGGCCCGGAACCGGCCCGGTCAAACCCAAGCCCGGCCCGTTGACCGGGCCAGCGGTTGAGCCGGAACCGGCCCGTGGCATCCGGAGGTTCAGGAAAAAATGAACCGGCCCCGGAACCGCGGTTCCGGGCGTTCTGAAAAAAATAAATAAATAAAAACTAAAAAAAAAAAAAAAAGGCATGAGCGAAAGGCTGTCATGACACAACCCCGCATTCTGGGTGGGCGAGGCGGCGCCTCGCCCGACGCCGCGAGGGCCGCCTCACCGAGGCGGGCGACCTCCTTTGCCTTCTGCTATGGCCGGCCGCGGAGGAAGAAAAAAAAAGAAAAGGAAAAGGAAAAGAAAAAAAAACAGAAAAAAAAAAAATCGGAACCGGCCCGAAGCCGTGCGGTTCACGGGTTCCACTTGGCCACGAACCGGAACCGCCGGTTCCGAACCATGGCCACCTCTAGTGGTAGGGCCGCGCAAAAGAAAGAAATCAGGGAATCTCCCGACATCGAACCGAACCGATGATTTTTACGGGACCGATTTGATTCTCGGTTTTAGATGCGGAGCCGCTCACTCAAGTTAAAAAAAAAAAATTGGAGCATTCATCTCAAAATTATAGTATCGTTTTCGTGTCAAATGATAAGCAAGAGATGGAACCAAATATCCAAATGGAAGCATTAATCATAAAATCACCGTATCATTTCGTGTTTGATAAGCAAGGCCCTCGTGCGGATTTCTTTATTATTCTCATCTTTTCCCTTGCAAGGAAATATCCACTTAGAAATTAGGCTCACCGTATATTAATTGATGAATGTAATTTTGTAGAGATTCAGGACCAGTCCCGGGAACCGAACAGCCAATTTGGTCCAATTTCTGGATGGGTCCATAGAACCATCGGGTGACTCCTAGTTCCAATTTTTTGAAATTGGTTCTTAGTGGGTGGTTTCCGAACAATACTCACCTCTATCTTGTGGTGTGATATACAATCAATATTTTGAAAATCAAGCTATTTCATACTAAATTTTTTCAAAGAGTATTTTCGGGACACTGATTATTGTACCCGTGTGACTCGCGCCCCCCCCGATCGAGGTTTCATAGAGCGACGAATTGATCAAAGGGACGGTCACGTAGTATTTCATTCGAGGCCTATGGTTCTCGACATTAACCGGTACTACTCGACACCCATACTCAATCGAGTAAAAGCCACGCGACTCGGCCCGAGCTTCAATTTAAATCATCTCTTAGCGTGTCCCGAACGAATAACGAAATACGTTTCAACGGGACCATATGATATGTAGCTGTAATCCGAATTTTACACGTGAACACGAATCGCCGGCTTCCCGAATTTTTTTTTTTTTTGGTCGGAGATTTCCCGATTATTATCACCTAATATAATTCGAGTTGCCGAACTGGGGCCCCGAAGGAAATGTACGGGTCGAGTTGCGTGTCGGTTTTCATTGCTTGCAATTTGGGTCGAACGAATTGATAATTGGGGGGTTGACTCCGAAAGTACGAAATTCAAGTGGCAGGATGCTGTTATTATTTTTTTTTTTTTGTAATATACATTTAAATAATAATATTATAATGATTATCTCGTCCTATACGTCTGATAATTTATACTCTCCCAACAGCACGTCGAAATTTACTAGAACACCGAAGAAAGTCGATATAATTTGATAGAAATTATTAACTTTCTATCCTTGTGTGGGTGCGCGTACGCCTCTCGTTATCAAAAAAGTTACCGATTCGGCATAAACACGTGCCGGTAGTTATTTTCTCGCATGAAAGCTTCCAAGCCGCATGGACAAGTTACCAATCATAATGGAAATCCTTACATTTTGGAGGGAAAAAAAATGCTAGTTATGTGAAATAGTCAAGCACTTTTTTTTGTGGAAATTTGCTGTCAACCTTGAGAAATTTACCCACTGGGGATAAGTTGAAAATGACCCTTTTCTAAAACAAACTCACTAACCAAATAACAAAAACATTAAAAGCTAAAATACTGATTTTCATGGTATAAAAAGTTTTCGGCGACGACGAAAAATTACTTCCTCTCGTCGCTCCCATACTTCTCCAATGAAAAAGTCACTGACCGCGTGAAAATAGTTACTAAATAATAGTAGATCGAAATTTACTTCATCAGAATATATGACAACGTCGTCAAATCTTCTACACAAAAAAAGTAAGTGTAATTAAATTAACAGGAATATCTATTCTGATGAGGAAAATGGCGCATTCTCGAATGAAAATAATAACTGTAATAATTACGAGATGAGAAAAACTCGCTAATCCACGGACATCTCCTCCCTTTATTTTCGCGGCGAAATCGCGAGTTCTTATTGACTTGAGCATCGGAAGGCTCTTATCGATAAGGAAGTGGAATCCTCTTCGGATTAAAATGATGGAGGGTCAAGAAAGAGCTCAGCATGCCTTAGAACATATGCACCAAAGATGTGGCCATCGTTTGGCTCAACACGATTCGTGAGGCCAATCATGGGTGGATTTTACTCTACAGCTAGAGCGTGGGGACGGCCCGTTGACCTTGACTTTGCTTGATGACAAACCAAAATTTCTCGTACATGACAATGAAGTTTTTGGCCATATTTATATGGAGGGTGAATCTCCCTTGTCCTAATATTTGAGAATAGATATTTGCTTACTTCCTAGCTTATATTTCATTTTATGAGTTGCATGGTTTGGGATTTTATTTTGTTTTTTTAATTTCTTAGTAAGTTCAAATATGTCGCTAGGATCGGGGTTATTGGGTAGCGCCGTGGCTATCGAGTTCGCGATTTTTCCGAAATTTGATTACCCATTTGAGCGGATTTGATTATCGCAAAAATGACAAAATAAGATATCGAATGAAAGAACGCAAAACGACCCGCATGGCTTAGGATTAAAGTTCCTACAATACTTTTGGTTCTCTGATCGGTTCGTGACCGGCCAATTGGGGTCGGGATTTCAATCGAAGCTATTAATCCCCAATTCGTCAATTCGGGGGGAAAGAACAATGTCATTTCTGCACTCTTTTGTTGATTAGGATTCTCCGTCTAAGCCATGTCGATCGATTTATAAAATCAAAGTAACGCCACGTCGGGTTTTCCGGTAAGAGAAATCGTCGACAGTAGTCATGTACACGATTTTTAAAACTCATTGCACTCACAGGACTGAAAAAAAAAAACGATGAAGACATGTGAGCGAGTATCATGCGAAAATTATGATATTTATACTATTCGTACTAATATGTTCATCGCGAATAACAATAAAGTAGAATCACTTGCGCGTTGCGCCTGACTCATTATAACTTGTGGAATGGGCAATTAGAGCCAAGGCGGGTTTTCTTTTTGATCGTTTCGATTCGAGTGAGGATGAAGTTTGCATTCGATATTCGAGCGCCAATGAAAAGGTGGCCAATCGGACAATCGATGTCGGACAAAAGCCACGTGATCCCACGATTCGCGTCCATGTCGGTAAACTCAACACAGCTAGGATGGGTGTGACGTCATGAAGACGTGATATCCTTCTTTCTTTTTGATAATTTATTTCTTTTTTTCGGCTGCTTTACGCGATCTTGCCATGTTGATCGCACGATCTCTCCATTCGAAAGAAATTGCAAAAAAAAAAAAATTCCATTTTTGGTATTACAATTTTAGGGATTTGCTCATACGGGGGCCGACATCGAAACATAGTATTAAATTTATGCATCGGGTGCTATTATATATCTATGTCACTTTCGAATGTGTTCGTCTCGGATCGGCAGCAAATCCAGTTGGACCGAGTCTTTGGAGGCCGAGGAGTCGCGTTCGTGCGTCCAGATAGGGCTCGACTGGATGTTGTCGAAGGGAAACGAAGTGGCAAACGAGGAGGGAAAAACAAAGGAAAAAAAAAAAACAGTCACGGAAAATCTCAGATAATATCTATTATCATACGTTTATCTAAAACTTTTTTTTTTATAGCATCAAAAGTTGTAAACTATACCCACTACGACATATTCATCGAGCTTCTATCAGATGATTTTTTTAGCTAAAACAGCGTCGTTTTTATTTGGGTAAAAGTCACCAAACCCCAAACTATCCCCACGGTTACAACCGTTAAAAATCTACCTAGGCGTTGTTTTGATTGAAAAATCATTTGATGAAGCCTTGACAGAAGGTTAATGTGTCGTATAAGTACAAGTATGTT